GTAGATTTGGCTACCCATAAGCTTGCATTAGAGACGAGCATCAAAGCTGGAAAAATAGTGAAAAAGCTACAAGCTCAAGTCGAGGTGTTCCAACATCGTTCTGCAGAGCATGAGAAGGAGATCACCTACTTGAAGGATGAACTTCAGAAAACTCGCATGAATGGCGAACTGAATGATAAGCTGACCAGATCTGATGTTCATACCAGCAAGGAGGAACATAAGCTGGACGAATTTGTTGCCAAAATCACGATGTTAGAACATGAACAGAAGTTGTCCAAGCAGGTATGTGATGAAAAGGTTTTTTTCATTGAGTCTCTACGTAATGAAATGTTTGTCTTGCAGAAAACTATAGATGAAAGGGAATCCGAGATTGTTGCACTCAAAAGAGAACTCGGTCGAGTGATGGAAGAACATGTAACGCTCAAGAGTTATTGTTCTACAATGGAGGAGAAACTCAGCAAGAGTGAGGAGATTGTCAAAATGATCAACAAGCCCAAGTCCTCATTTGCTGAAGTTCAAAGGATGAGTCAACAAATAGGTACTTCAGACCAGAGTAAGAACGCTCATGATCAAAAACTGAAAGGTAAAGTAGGCGAACCTAGCACATCTCTGAGTAAGTCAGACCTGACCTTTGTCAAAGAAGGTTACATCATTGATGGTAAGAATGGTAAGCCTAACTCTACTAAAACTCAGCGTAAGAATTCTGGTAAGAACTTTGTGCCTGTTTGTCACTATTGTGGTATCCGTGGTCATATTCGCCCTAAGTGTTATAGGATGCATAATGATATTTATACTGGTCGAATTGATGAATGGAGTCCATATGGTGTACCCTTGAAAGCACCTAAACTAAAGGTTGATGTGGTTAATCATGAACAGAAAAAGATTTGGGTTCCTAAAGGCAGTAAGAACGTTTGCTTATCTTCTATACTTGCATTGAAATCCACCTCTAATTCTGATTGGTATTTTGACAGTGGGTGTTCTCGTCATATGACAGGTCTAAAATCTAACTTGATTAATATTTTGCCTGTTCCTTCTAGTTTTGTGACCTTTGGTGATGGTGTTATGAATAGAGTTCTCGGTATAGGATGTTTGAATGTTCCTGGATTGCCCAAACTTCAAAATGTTCTTCTTGTTGAAAATTTGAAAGCGAATTTGCTGAGTGTGAGTCAATTATGCGATCAAGACTTTTCTGTGAGTTTCACCTTGAATGGATGTTTGGTTTCAGATAGGAATAATAATTGTGTTCTTACAGGGTCTAGATCGCATGATAATTGCTATTTGATTGATTATATGACTTTTGACTCATGTGATACGAGTTCTGGTATTATTAGAGATTGTGATGCTGATAGGGATGAGAATGTTGCTGTTCAATGGAGTACGTCTGACGGATGTTCTTACACCGATCAGAATTTTGTGGCTGAAACTTGTTGTTCAGAAAAGGTGTGGATGAAGCACATTTTTCTTAAATTTGGAACTGAGGTACAGGCCATTGACCTTTTCCTTGACCTTACCTATGCGGCTAATGTTTCCAAATATTCTGTTCAACATTCTCTTAATCGTACTAGCATGCTATGCCACTTTACTAGAAATTTGGTTGATGATGGATTAGTTGTTCATAAATATGTTCCAGCACATAACCTTGATGCTCAAAGATTTATTTCTCTAAGGAAATCCTTAGGGATATGCATTCTCTGATTGCTTGCATGCCATTATATTATATTGTATTGTATATTAGTATATATATTATATTTGCATTGCGTGTATGCATATAGGGTATTATTTGCATTAGGCATGCCTTGCATTTTTGCATATATTTCACCACTAAGTCATAAATGAAGTTCTGACTCTTCTGAAAGCGGGTGAGATGTTGATTGTCTTTAATTGATGGCGTGTTCTTGCATACCTTGGAACAAATATATTTCTGTCAAAAAGAGCTGCCTTCACACAATGATCTAGAGCGATAGCTAGCACATGGTTCGTTTCCTTTGGGATCGACTGTGAAAAGAGCGTCATGGACAGAAAATGTTGTGAAGGGTGGTAGCTAGTGACAACCACTGCACTTCATTGTGTGGTGTTTTTACTTGGAGTTATAAGGTGGTCATCTTCATAAAAAACGTAGTGCATAATGATTTTTTTTTAAAAAAAAAAAAAAAAAAAAAAAAAAAAAAAAAAAAAAAAAAAAAAAAAAAAAAAAAAAAAAAAAAAAAAAAAAAAAAAAAAAAAAAAAAAAAAAAAAAAAAAAAAAAAAAAAAAAAAAAAAAAAAAAAAAAAAAAAAAAAAAAAAAAAAAAAAAAAAAAAAAAAAAAAAAAAAAAAAAAAAAAAAAAAAAAAAAAAAAAAAAAAAAAAAAAAAAAAAAAAAAAAAAAAAAAAAAAAAAAAAAAAAAAAAAAAAAAAAAAAAAAAAAAAAAAAAAAAAAAAAAAAAAAAAAAAAAAAAAAAAAAAAAAAAAAAAAAAAAAAAAAAAAAAAAAAAAAAAAAAAAAAAAAAAAAAAAAAAAAAAAAAAAAAAAAAAAAAAAAAAAAAAAAAAAAAAAAAAAAAAAAAAAAAAAAAAAAAAAAAAAAAAAAAAAAAAAAAAAAAAAAAAAAAAAAAAAAAAAAAAAAAAAAAAAAAAAAAAAAAAAAAAAAAAAAAAAAAAAAAAAAAAAAAAAAAAAAAAAAAAAAAAAAAAAAAAAAAAAAAAAAAAAAAAAAAAAAAAAAAAAAAAAAAAAAAAAAAAAAACGAGTTCTTACACCGAGCATTGGGGCAAAGTAATGGGGTTGACTTTCACTATTGCAGTGATTGTTACTAAGTGAAAAACCTCGATGTAAATTAATGTTGTTGCTTAAAATCATTGGGCAAAGTAATGGGGTTGACTTTCACTATTGCAGTGGTTGTTACTAAGTGAAAAGCCTAGTGAATAATAAAGCTTATGTTGTTTTGGTGTTGGAATTCTGGAGAGATATGACTTGCGCTACATATACATATATATAATAATACCGCCTCTGTTTTGTTCCTTGGTGTGTTTGTAGCACAATGTTGATTTTGGATTAATTATGCATCAATCCTGCCTAAGTAGATTAAGAAAGGATTTTATTGATTTTAGTGTCTTGCATGCGGTTTTATTTTTTTTTTTTCATCCTTAGGCATAATGCATGTGATTTCCTTCTTGAGTGAATTACTTGGACGTTAAAAAATGTGAGGGACTTTATTTTTGGATGATAAAATCTTATTCTTCCTAATTTTGAATTAGTTGGACACGTGTGTTAGTGTGTTAATGAGTTTGTGTGTTCAGTTTTGATGGGGATGTTCTTACTGCATGGTATTCAACCTTTCCCTTGATATTTTTTTTCGAACCTCACCCATCACGTCCTCACTATATATCTTCATTTTCAGAACTTGAGAACCCCATTTTTATTTTTCTCTCTTTGCATTTTTCTTTTAACCATTTGTGTTCCTGCATGATTTTCTATTGTGCTTCTGAAACACTTTGGCTGATGGCAAAAGACTAGAGAAGAGATGGATAGTCTTCAATGATTAGAGATCAGTTCAAGCAACGACTTTCGTCTTCGGTTATATTTTTTTTCTCTCACTCGATGTTCTTACTCAGGGGGAGATTTGCCTTTGGCATTTCAGTCTAAAAAGGGGGAGAAAAAGGATGTTTCTGAAGATATTGGGGATTATGTTATAGTTGTTTGCTTCTGATTATATTGGTTGCTGTTTTTGTAAGATATTGGGGATTATGTAAGAACCATCGCTGTTTCTTCACATGGAAGACGGTGGAAAAAGAACACGGGTACAGGCCCTTCGGCATCCCGTAGTTCGAAAAAGGGGGAGAAAGGCAGAGATGGTCAAGGATGATGCTAAGAAGTCAGGGGGAGATTCAATAGATGCGATTGGTTGCTGTTAGAACCTCTTATGACTTTTCTTTTGTGTGGCTGCTGTTAATACTTGCTGTGATTGGTAGGATGTTTGCTCTGATTGTTTTATGCTATGTGCGTCTAATGAGTTGTAACTGCAGGTACTTTATGGACTGTGTTCTTACTGCAGTGATTTGTTCCTTATGATATTATTCTGCATATTCGTGCTTGTTGTTCTAACTGTGTTTCAGGTTATCTTCATTATATGATTTTCGAACTAGATGCCAAAGGGGGAGATTGAAAGAGTTATATTTTTGGCAATGAAGTTCAAAAATTAATATAAGTGAAGATATATTCTTGCAAGCATGAGAAATAAAAAGGGAAGTTCTTTTATTTATATTTATATTTATATATTCGAATATATTTATATTTATATTTATATATTCGATTTATATACATATATATTAGATTTACATGATCTTATTATGGATATATTTTGTAGGAAATCATATAAGAAGGAAAGATCTTTGGAAAGAGAAGATAGAGATCTACACCTACCATATCTCTTATGATTTACATGGAAGGAAATTGGATAAACTTGGAAGGAAATAAAAAAGGAGTCCTATACTTGGAGAACACTCCACATCCTAGGGATTGTATATATACCTGCTTGAAGAACGAATTTTGGAGAGCTGAGAGCATTATATTCTATTCCATATTCGAGCTGCAAGCTTTTTGTGTTTTATTTTCGTTGGTCAGTTTTCGGTGTTCTTACGTCATCGAAGAACTGAAGTCTGTTTTGTTTTCTTTTCTTTGTTTTTCATTCAAACACTTGTGTGATCAGTGCTTAGGGATTAAGTACTTTAGCTCGAGGGATTCGAGAGGTAAAATCCACGGGACGTGGTCGGAGAAGTAGTTGATAGAATCGTGTGTAGTTGTGGCTAGGCTAGAAGGGAGTTCGAGTCGTGTAAGTCCAAACTATACAAGTGTGCACAAACAGTTTATCAATGAAAGAGCTCTGAGGGGAAGTGGGACGCTTCCCTGAAGAGTTTTTAAATCTTCGATTTATTGCTTCCGCATTTTATAATTTTTGTTTTGTTCGTACTACAAGTTGAGCGCACTCGTTACAAAATACCTACGTTTCAAAAACATTTGGTCTAACAATGGAGAAGGGCAAAAGCGTCAAAGTCTGCGTAACTGGAGGCTCCGGTTACCTCGGCTCGTGGCTCATCAAGAGCCTCCTAACCAGAGGTTACACTGTCCACGCAACACTCAGAAATTTGGGTACGTTAATTATTATTACTTGTACATATACATATTTTGTTTTGTATATGTTTGTGTTTTTTTCTTTTCTTTTTTAATTGGGATTTTCTTCATTTATTTATTTATTCAAGGCGATGAGTCGAGCCTTCTAAAGTCGATGCCGATGGCCGAAAGAGATTAAAACTTTTCGAAGCGGATATTTACAGTCCACAAGAGTTTGATGAAGCTATAAAGGGGTGTGAGTATGTTTTGCATGTGGCTACACCATTTTTACACAAGGAAAACACTAAGGTGAGTTTAAATTTTACAATATGCATCAAGATTTGTGATAGTTTGCTTAAGAGTAACCTTAATGAAATGTTAGACCAGTGTAAATAATAATATTCAGTCTAATACACAAGTATTTATTAATGTCCTTTTTTATTTTTTGTCGGATCAACTTTTTCACACAGTAATTTAAAATTTATGCTTTTTACACCTCAGTTGATGCAATGGTGTGATTATGGTGCAAACGAATGGTAGAAGTGTTCTAAAATTGTAATGTGAAAAAGTATATATGTCTAATTTATTTATTTTGAAGTAAAAAAATTGTCCATTATCCGACAGGAGCGTGCGATAAGATACACACGTGTGAGACTCTCAGTTCACATATTCAAATCACGAGACAAATACAACTTAAATTAGTCCAACCACAATCTTTTTTGAATGATAATTATTTTTATTAGAATACATACGTAATTATAAAATATCATAACATGAATACGTTAGCTCTTTAACATATAAGATGTGAGTACGAAATTATGCAAATCTAATATTGAAAAAGTATGACTGACTGACTGTCTGATTAGTACAAGGACACGACAGAGGCCACCATAGCTAGTGTCAGGTGCATAGCCGACTCTTGCCTCCTGTCAAAGACGGTCAAACGGCTCGTCTACACGTCGTCCGTGATGGCAGCTTCGCCTCTGAGTGAAGACGGGTCGGGTTACAAACCTCAAATGGACGAGCTCTGTTGGACTCCTCTCGGCTTATCGTTTGATTATGGCAACGAATTCCTTTTGGTAATTAAGAATTTCTCAGATGGTGTGATTGGATATAAAATCAATCCAAAAAAAAAAAGAAATTAAAACTCAAATTTTATTCAACCTCGCTATCATCAATATAGTTAAATAATATCAATCAATCATTTTTATACATCACATCAACTTTAATTAACTATTCATCCATTGACATAATTTTAACAAACCATGACTTCACATAATCACTCTCTTACTTTTACAACAAAACAACTTTAATTATTTTATTTTAAATATAATTTTAATATAAACTTAATTTCACTAACAACTAATCATACCACATTTTTTAAAATTAAATATAGTTAACAAAAAAATTAATAAAAACTCTGTCAAATCCATATCCGCCAATTATAGTAATGTCAACAATAGAAAAAAAAAAAATGTCTAGCTACAATGATTTGTATTGGTCAGGATTATGTTAAATCAAAGACACAATCAGATAAGGAGATCTTGAGGTACAACAATATTGGAAGTAGTGAAAATGGTGTGGATGAGTTAGAGGTGGTTAGCCTGTGTAGCGGTTTAGTCGGGGGAGAAACGATTCTCCCGTACGTGTGTTCAAGTCTGCCGTGCGTGCTGTCTTTAATAAAGGGCGATGAATTTAGTTTGAACTCGTTAAGGTTCATGCAAGAGTTGATGGGTTGTATTCCTGTGGTGCACGTCGAGGATGTTTGTGACGCGCACATTTTATGCATCGAGAAAGGGTCGTTGAAAGGCTGGTTCTTGTGCGTGGCCGAGAGCGTGATGATCGAGGATATAGTTAATTGCTATGGGGAGATTTGCCCTGAATTTCATATAGGAGAAGGGTAAGAACATTTCTATTATACTTTATTTTTCTATAGAATTTGTTTTTTTACTTCTTGAGTTATAGAAACAAATTTGTGTGACTTTCTATAGAGATTTGGAGTAATGAGACCTTGATGATATGTTAACTTTTCAGATTCAAGAGTGGGCCTATTGGGAGAAGCAAATGTGAGCTATCAAAGTTGAGAAAAGAGGGGTTTGAGTTCAAGTATAGATTGAAACAAATACTAAAGGACAGTGTGAAATGTGCAAAAAGGTTGGGGTTTTTACAAGAATTTGTCCAACTTTGACATGGAAAATTTCACACTATTGTGATTGTGTGTGTGTGTGTGTGGTTTTTTTTTTACCGTATGTGTGTGTATATGTTGAGTTGATCTGACGGTAGAAAGCTCTATAATTGGAGTACAATCATCAATAGGATCAAACGAGCCAAATTTGAGATGCCTATTTGGACATGATTATTGAACAAGTATTATGAGAAATGTTTTGTATTATTTTATGATAACTTCACGTGGACTCAATTTCTTTTGTTCATTTTATCTGGAGGATTGTCCAATTCATGAACTTAGTTCTGCTAATTAATTAGTGTGGCAAAAATTTATTTTTGGTTTGCTTACTTGTCTAAAGTTATTTTTTGATACGTGAATTTTCGCCTTATCAAAAATAATACGTTATGTTGCAATTTGTAAGTTAGCTTATAATTTATTTGATTATCTTATTTAATTAGTTTATAAGTTTTCTGTGTAAACATGGTTTGATATGAAGAATTTTTTTAAAAAGTTCGAACTTATTTCATAAACTTCTTTGGTATCTTTTTAAATTACTATATTGAAGGTTTTATTTCAGTTAATTTATTAATTAATTTTACCAAACACTCTTAGTTTTTTAGCCAGCATAAGTTATTAAACTCGAAATTCACTTATAAATTATCATTTAACTGATTTTTACCAAATATACTTTAGTGTAAAGCCAATCAAAAAGCATCTTTCGTTCCTCCATTGAATTTGAAAAGAATCCGTTTAGTAGGATTTTCTTCTTCAACACCATAGGGAAGTTTTGTCCAGATTCAGAACTGTTCTAAAAAATCCCATGCCTGTGTTTTGCTTTATCGTCCTTCAGCAAAGATTACAACTTTCAAACGGGCAAAAACTGGAGAAACAATTGAATCCGAAAAAAAAGTGCAGGTAATATTACAAGGTTTGGAGTCAATAAACATGGTAATTCATTGGTTTGTAATGTGTTTTTCTTTTTTCCAATGAGACTCTTAGGCACAAAATGTTGAGTCCCCTGTCATATATCTTCGAAGCTTTCAGCTTTTTGCTTCGTTACCTTACATGGGGTTCTTGTATTTTTTATCACCAAATCAAATTCTGACCCAAAGATTCAACCTTTTTGGATTCTAATTCTTGCTAGCCTTTGTAGGTGCTACAGATAAGTTTTTCTTTGTTGCTTCCTTTTGTTATTCATTTTTTTGTATTGATATTTTATTTAATGCTTAGCAACAATATGGAGTGTTTTTCATCTCATTGATATGTGCTAGCTAGTTATTATTCTTTAATTGCTCTATGTAGTGGGCTAATACATTGGTCTAGTTTTTTTTTGTATTGCTCTATGAAGTTTGGCTTTGTTTGTCAATATTAATGAGTCAAAATCGAATCTTCACAAGTCGAGCTAAACTAAGATTTCTGGAGATTACGTAATAATCCGTATTCTCGAGACTGACGAACGTTAACAAGCCGAGCTCACAAGTGGCTTGTTTTGTTTAACAGGTATGTGTAATGTGTGTGTGAGCACTTTAAGGTAGTGTCTGAGCTGTATAT